TCGATTTCTAAGTTTCATTGAGTTTATTTCACGCTCAATGGAATTTGGAGAAGTGCTGTTTTATGCCATATCAAGCTGCTTATTAAGCTTTTTTAAATCATACTATCAGTGTCTTAACCAAATATCATACGCACCAACTCCTTTTTGATCGGAGATTTTTTAAGAAGAAAGGGATTCACATTATTTGCGAATTTTTATATGTTGTTCTAGATTATTATTTTTGCTGTAAAGTAATTCAGTTTAACATTGACAAAAAGCTGGAGGGAAAGTGGGAGATTCAACTTTGAAGTTCTTTTTTCTCCTATAATTAAAATCTCCTTCATGTCTTAATTATTAAACTAGTTTAAATGTTGCGTTTCCTTTCAGCTCATCGGCTTAATTTTAGGCGAATAATGGTGATGCCGAAACAACACATGGTACAGAAGAAAAACCAAAAATGTATGGGATTTTTTCTGCAGTGCTGTCCGGATAATACTTATTCAGAGTAAGTCAATCTAGGCAGCACAAACATATCTATCGAAATAAACCTTTACAGCGCATGGACCTGCCAATCAGTTGCAGAAATGCGACTTATCGCTCAAAAACCTGGTGTACAAAATTTTGTGCGGAAAACAACGCACGTTTATAGCGCAAAAGAAAATGATTGGGGCTATTCCTGCTTTATGACATGGGCGGTTAGTATTTATTGATTTCATTGGGAATGTTTTGTAGGAGAAAACACTATTACAGGATGTTCTTGATGAAAGTCAAGGATACATAAAAGATGATCGGGTTACGTTAGAGATCACTGTGAAAGCGGAGGCTCCAAAGAATATGATGTTAGTGTTCATTGCATTGCATAGATAAATATTCAGGAATCCATGTAACTTTATAGGTCACGCGAGGATTTCCGACGATCTATAGATCAGTGGTACAATTTAGCTGAAATGCAACTGGCTCGTGGCCAAGTAGATTTATCAATTGAAGCAAATGCTCAAGTAAGTAAAGCCTAACTGACTGAGCACCTGACTGGCATAGAGTAGCTAGCAAGAATATGTTGAACAGCACCTCTTTTTCTTATGTTTTCTTGATCTTATAGATTTTTTGCTTCTTTTTTTCTTCTCTTTCTTTTCTCCGAAGATACTTCACTTGCATCGGTTCAGGCTCTCAAGTTCTGCAAAGATAAAGACAAGCAATCGCAGGAAAAATTGGAAGCGCAGCGAGAGCGCCTTGTAAATCACAAACTTGTCGAAAGTATTCATCGGATCGAGAAAGGTTTTTGAATAAAATTTGCTATTTTTTGTTTACCCCCGTATGTTTAAATTCTAGTGAAAGATGTGCCAAAAGGAACGGGTGATGCCTTGCGTCCAACTTCCTTAAGACAAGCTCTCACTGGCGCTCAAAAATCGGCGACTACTTCGAAAGCGACTAAAGTTATCAAAAAGGAAAGACGCAATATTGTTCAGCAAGGAAAGAAGTCTGGAAATGCATTGACTGCGAAGTAAGTTCGATTATAGTTAGTAAAAGGAT